TTTTATTTTAGTCGAAACGGCAGACATATAAAAAATATAACAGTAACAAGCAAATGTACGTCTCTTAATTAACTTGGGAATAGTCACCTGGGATGTTTTTATATCCCAGTGGCAAGAAAATGTGAATTATGTCATAGTATATTATTTTGTATGTATATAATTTAACATATTTTTTTTTCTTTTTTAACAATTATTCTCACGAACCTTTAAATATGCAATTCCATTGAAAACTCGCAATAAAAAGAGCGTTATTTTAATAAAAATCCTTCTTTTTTTTAGAAACATTATCAAAATAAATACTTAACCTATTTATTTCGTTTAATTTAATTGTTTGGTTTCTATTTAGTTTTATTAGAAAATTGTTGATTAAATCTATATCTATTAATGTTATTAAGTACTAATAAATAGGAAAACTATCAGTAATATATTGTTAATAATAGTAATTTTAATTGGGCTATAAAAACACAATAATCATTTATGTAAGAAAAAATCAGGTGATCATTATAGTTACAGTATCTATAGCAAAGTAAAAGAGACTTTTTGGTATGAAAGCCACACTGAGAATGCTACCGAAGGGCTAGAATAAGTTATGCGAGTGACATTAATTGTTTTGTTTTAAACAACCAATTTCAAATAATGGAGGATTGTTACCGTAATAATAATAGCAACGCTGTGTCAGTCTTCATATATGGTTGTTACCCACCAACGACTCGCGCATTCTTCCAAAAGACTTTTCTTAACGCACATATAAATTACGAACGTAGTTTGCAACGGCCGGTATAATTACTTTCATTACCGTCTTAAAAACATTCATCGTACCGTTACGTGTCCCATCTGTTATTCTTATTCTCCCGTGCTTCTAATGCCTCTATGACAAAGTGGCGTTCATGCCGAAACGGCACGTCAGGAATTACGGAGTCGCGTCACGCGACAGAACAAGACATACCAGAAGTAATGTTCTCGTTCTGCCCTTTACCGCATATCCGACCCTTCACTCGTGACTTTAGAATGCGAAGGATTTCGACTATCTTGCCGCACGAAGTGACTAATCACAGTGAATGTGATGAGACGCTCACAATCAATCATATTGTGCAAAGCAATTGAGCACTAATTACGAAGCAGTCTATCTACGGGAGCTAATTTTAAGAAGATATTTTCTGTATATAAAGATAGCGACTGTGATAGCTCTCTTCGTATATTTTGTGTATGTTCTTATTCTTTTTAAAAATTTTATTTTATTTTTTTATCGCTCTTAATTGATTTTGTTAGTAATTAATTCTAGTCATATATATTCATGTAATTTTAATCTGATTTTGCGCTCGAATCGATTTATTTTACTGGAAAAGATTAAATTTTATCTTTTGCTGTTTATTGACTTTGATTTTATTTTATTACAAATTTTATTTTAGTACAAATCGAATGTAAATCTTATATTACGGATTTATTACACGGAGTGTACTTCTTATAGATTTAGCAAAGTCCGGGAGCGTGTTTTACGTGTGTTAAGATGAAAGAAGTTTGTGCGGAAATACTTATAATTATTGGACCTTAAAACTGTCGAAGTCAGCCGTTTATTATTCTAAGTAAACGGAGTTTGCTAACAGTCGGCGAACGGTTGTCCGTCGTAATTTGTTATTACGCGGTTTAATGAAAAGAGTATACAAATTGCAGTAACATAATTGTTATTAACGAATTAGTCCAACGCAGATAGGAAACATTTGCGAACTACGTTCAGAATAATTATTTTTTTATCTCAGTTAATAAAACATAATAATAAATATAAATAGTTCACGTCATATATTATATGATAATTAAATTTATATGTTATATAATGGTCGAATATTTATTTGAGTGATTTCCATGAAATTTTTCTACGTTTTAAAATAAAAAATCTGCTTGTTTGGGGCAAACTGTCTTTTTTCTTTAGGATTTTAAAGCCACCGCTTTATCATCATTTTTATAACGTACTTTTTATGATGCACGTATTGCGACGTTTACGATTGAATCATGTCAATGTTTATAGATTTTACGACGCGCGTGATATAATCATCGACTTTTTCGATACTGCTATTAATCCTATTCACACGCAATAGAAAGGAACGAGTGTCGCAATGTCGTAAAATGGAACACGTCAAAATCATCCTTTGAGACGCATAGACGCGACTTGTTGCAATTAGTCACGGTTACGAAAGGCGGATGGGAGGCGGATCACGCGCTGTTCTGTCAATCGCTTGACATTTACTCACCTGGCTGTGCAGGACACGCGACGCACGCAAGAGTGCATGCGTGTGCGACGCACGCGATGCACACGCTTGCGCGCAGGGGCGGATATAATTTTTCTTTTTAAATACATGAATATGTGTAGAGAATAATTTTAATAAAAGTTGATTGTATCACACTCTAAAAATATTTTTGAAAGTTCAAAGTATCTTAATTTTGTATTATGAAGATATTTTTAGCTAGAAATATCCGGTACAAGAAAGGAGCATTCTTTTTAACCTTGCATTACTCGCGTGAATTTTTTTTACATGTAATTACTTGCGTGGGATGTTTCTGACATTATATCTCAATTTTCGTTGTTCTCTTTAATGATTTACAATTAAATAAATATTCGTAATATTTCATACTCGCTTTAGACAAAAATAAATACAAGAATTTTCTTTAAGTGTGATTTATTTTAAATATAACATTGCTTATATATAAATAGTATTCATATATTTGCACTGTTATAGATATCAAATAAACAATGATAACTCATCCCTTGAGTTAAATAACATTTTGTTAATTTTAATTTTTATGTGTGTCAAAATGTAAGTCAATTATTTCTGCTATAAATAACGTCCATATTAACGTATACATTTAGTGAACAATAGACTAAATTTCAATCAAATTTAATACATTTTTTTTAGTTAAATTCAATTTAACTTTATTGTTTTAAATTAATGTTATTGAGTAAAAGCAGTAGCGACCTGTAAAAACTCTGATTAAAACTGGTTAAAAATAACTCTAACTGAGTATAATTTAACATTATAAATTGAAGTATAACGAATTTATAAGATTTGAATAGCCTGGATACTGTACACAAGTAATGAAAGGTTAATATTACATTCGATCACGCCAATTGCTCGATTCCCTAAAAATTATCAGTTTCGAGTCCTGAAAAAAATTATTATCCGCCCGTGCCCATGCGAGTCCCTCTTTACTAATCCATGGTGACGGTTCTCATCGCTATCTTTTTCAGACTTACACGTGTCTACACGTGTGCGTCCTTGTGAACAACCAACCATGCTGTTCCCCCACCGTAAGTTCATAGCTCTCATTCGTTATCAGCCCCGACGATATGCATGATTTATCGTTTTATTTACACAGTAGATCATCAACTCTCGCAATGTTACGAATTTAAAAAATTATGTAAAACATACAAAGAATGTAAAAAATTATATAAAATATGCGGTATATTACACTCGCTCGTCGCCTGATCTTGCGAGAAGTCGTCCTTTATAACAAGTGTTCTTCCATGTTATTAACGCGTCATTGTCTGACTAACACCTGCACGTGATGACGTATTCGCAGTGCATGCTCGAGTTGACCATTGGTCGACCGATATGGTAACGAATGCGCCGAGCTTAATGTGTATTTTTAAAACCGGTCTGTAAATCAGCATGCGTTTACTTGTACGCGTAATCGGATTCGGATGTCGGGAGTCGGGAAACGATTTCAGACATCTCGATGATTTTACCCGTTTAATTACCGCTGTTCCTTCTTCCTTGATATTCCTCTGTGTGCTGTTAAATCTCAAAAGAGCGTTAACTCAATCTTGAGTTAAATAACGCTTTGTTATTTTTTACTTCCATGTATCTATTAAAATATAAATGAATCCTTTTCTGTGGTTGAATTGTTTACACTGTTAAATCTATAGTATCAAATTTAACCTAACGTGAGTCGCCACTGCTCCTACTAAATATATCGTTATTTTTTACCAAAATGATAGTTAAATTTGACACTATATCGTGTCAATTTGACACTGTATAGCGTCAAATATAACCATTGTTTTAGTATAAAATAACGATACGATTGAGTAGGAGCAATGGCGACTCACGTTAAGTTAAATTTTACACTGTAGATTTAACAGTTGTAGTTTGACAGTGTAGTTTAAAACAACGTCCATATTAATGTATGCACTTAGTAAACAATAAATTAAAATTTAATACATTTCTTGAGTTAAATTATTTAAGAATGTATTACACGTGTTTTTTAACACGTGTGATAAAAAAATTATAGTTTTCTATATTATGTTAGGAACAGTTGACAGTTTGACAGAGAGAGAGTTTATGAATTTAACAATGTACAGACGGGATTACTACACTGGAAAAAAAATATAGTCAATTTTAATAAATATTTAGTTCGATACTACCAACTAAACATTTACTTACAGTAAATAAATATTTGTTCACTAAAAGGAATGATTGTTAAATCAAATTAATGTTTCTTGTATCAAATAAATATATCTTTATATTTAATAATATATCTTTATATTTAGTTGGCAGTATTGAACTAAATATTTGTTAAAATTGACTATATTTTTTTTCAGTGTAGTATTACTACAGCTTGATATAATACGATATAATTAGAATTGTGTAAAATTTCGAGTAGTATAATCCGCGCGAATGTCGCATATCTTTATTACGTCATGCGCAAACAGCAGCTATGATTATGTTGACGATACTTGTGCACATTTGACAAAATCCCACGCTTTCGCTATTTACATTATGTGTATGTAACTCCCGACATTCCTGCGGTTTTTTCATTTTCTATTCATGGTAATCGCTTGAGTACATCGCCGATGGACTATACCCTTACGCATTCTTATTTTCCTACTTGGTTGTCTGTTTTTTTCTTACGTCAGTCGTTTTGATGTATTTTTTTTTGCGCCGCCAGATATGTGCTTGACTCGATGTGAAAAGCGGCAATTAACTTGCCCCTTTTGGAATTTGTTGCAGGCGAGCAGACATGTCGGGGACCTGTTCGAGGATCTACGCGACGGCCACAATCTCATCTCCTTGCTGGAAGTGCTCTCGGGCGAGCACCTTGTGAGTACTTCTCGCGATGTTCTCGGAGCGATATTTCTATATTTATTCTCCATTATTATCTTAACCTTTAAAGTGATTTAAAGATACGCAAGTCGGTAGATGGGGTGCTCTTCTAAATATTTCCTAAAAATTTTAATTTTATAGTTGTATTTTTTATAGTATTTTTAATTAAAGGACCTCTCTAGTATGTTAATTATTAGTATGTTAATTTTTAGTTAAGGGATATGAAAAAAGTGATTCGAATTAAATTAGTTGAAATCGTGATATTTAGTTTATGAGACGCTGATCAAAAGTCTCCATAAGCACTATTAGAGAACAGCACCATATAAATAGATTTTGCTGTAGCACTATTTGAAAGTTGTTATTTTGGATCTCATTGGATTGAAAAGACTTAAAAAATTTTAAGACTTCTGGGTTTCTTGGCAATACTTTTTATTTTTCTTTTCAAGAACAAAGTTTTTAAGAAAACTATTCTTGGGGTGCTGTGGCCACTCCACCTACCCATTCAAAAGTTAAGAAAAAGATATTAACGATGACAATCAAAGTCATGTATTTTCTCTTTAAAAGGTTAAATAAATTCAATTTATTGTCGAGTTTTTTATCGCGGATCTGTTTCTTGTGTGGGTGCTTCGTAAATTTGAGTCAGCTCCTTTCACGGGAGCAGAGTATTTATCATTGAGTTCTGGAATTGAACTCTATACGACAATTGGATCAACCAGCGATAATTATCCCCAATTGAATGTAATTAACGATAAACTGATCGCATTTTCCAGCCGCGGGAGAGGGGCCGAATGCGCTTTCACATGCTGCAGAACGTGCAGATGGCCCTCGATTTTTTACGATACAAGAAGATCAAGCTGGTCAACATCCGGGCGGAGGATATCGTGGACGGTAACCCGAAACTCACACTCGGCCTGATATGGACTATTATCTTGCACTTCCAGGTAAGTAGCTCAGCCATTTTGCAAAACGTGATGATAAGCGCGATTCTCCGAGTTAACGATCGCAATAACGATGAACTCCAAACGAGTGAGGTTCGCCTTTCGAATCGACCAGGCGTCATGAAGTAACAACCCACGGCCACCCTACGCGTTTATGTCGAATTTACCAGTAACGTGCGAGTAGTGTCGTAAATTTATGCGTCGCGCGAGCTCGCTCGCACGCATATGCTGCATTTTACGCCCGTTTGGTATTCAGGGAGTTCCGGAAGTCATGTACTCCTTTTTGACTGCAGACTTATCGGAGTCGGACTTTTCTAGAACGAAGATTGAAATACAGAGACCATCATTGTCATGCACGTCATATTTTTCAGTTTCCCGTATTATGTATTTCGACAATTATGTTCCGACGAATTTAGATTTTGTTGCAGTTTACATGAAATTAGATGGAGGGCAAGTTTCACACTTTTCTAAGTTTAAAGTTTAATTTTCTCTGAGTCGATAATTGATTTCTGACATTTTCTAAATTTTTTAAAATATCAATTCCAAAGTTATTACTGCCTTGTTAAAATAATCGCCAGTTTCTTCCCAGCTTATTCTCTGGTATTTAATATCTACGGCACCGCTTGTATAATGCAAATGAAGCGGCTGCAATGTCAGCATGATGAAAACCGCCCATCGCAATTTGCTGTAATGTGTCCATCGGACTACACGATGCGTCAGTCAACCATGAAACTCGATAGAAAGTGAAATACGTGCAGAGCGTTCGAGAAATACACTTTCTCATAATTTAGTTCTACCACCGAAGCATCAAAAAGTTTTGAGCGTTTTTAAACAATCTGGAATACTTTTAAATGTACATGAAAGGCGTAGTGAATCAAATATTGGATACACAAAAAGGACGAAGTATTTAAAAATTTAGCTAGATCTGAAAATAATTTTATTGGGCCATAGAACAATTATGTAGGATGCTCAAGTTGATTGCTAGAATGTTAAAACTTTCTATAATATATATTGCTCATCATGTCCGAGTATTCTACTATAATAATCATTTTGATAGTCCAACTATAATATTTATAGATTTGTATCAAACTAAATTTTATGAAAAGAACGATTTTGCTGAAGTATCTGAAAATTGTTCCTACATAATTATTTTGATAGTCTAACAAAATTATTTTCAAATTTCTATCTATCTAAATTTTTAAATACTTCAGGAAAATTATTCTTTAGGTGTAGAGATTTCGTAAAAAATCGTTCTTTTCGTGTAGAGAAAGAGTTCGAACATAGTGGAACATTTTTCAAAATTGAGTAAAATTCATCTTTTCTTTAGAATAGAATAGTCCATACATTATTTTTGTCTTATGGTTTTAATATTCGCGCGGTAATAGTCAGGAATATTCATTAGTCTTTTCAAATCGACTGCATTTAAACGTTGTCGCGACATGGCTGGCGTCATGTCGAAAGTATTTTGCATTTGTGTACTCATTCACGTACCGTTGAACTAACGGAATACGTTGATTCTACTGGGCGCGGCAGTACTTTCGTCGTGTTGGAAATGGCTATACTCGGTCACTTGCTGCAGAACTGAACAGGCAATTAAGCGATTTTTCTTTGACGTTTTCACCGTCGTGATATTATTATTTCGCATTGCAATTTGCAACACGTGGCGGAATGCTGGACAGGAAACGTTGAAAGTTACGTCTATAAGAGTCGTCTCTTTCGACGAGCGTGGCAGCTTGAAACGGATTTTCATTGCAACGCGCGAAGGTGTATTTTTAATTACGAGACGCGGGATAATTTGTAAAAAAACAAGGTGTTTACTACCCGGAAAAACAAGAGAAAAACCTGAAATTTTTAAGGGATTTTTTTTACCTTTGAAAATGAGGAATTTTCATGGAATTTTATTTAATCTCAAAAGGAAATTTTTTAAATTTTACTTTTGAACTTAATTCTGTCTCTTTCTGAAAATATTATTTCTTTAATTATTTTTTCTTGATAATGCAAAATGTTGACTATCAGAGTTAGCGATAAATACAGTATATACATCTGTGTATATTTATGTGTATTTTTATTAAAAGAATCAAGTTGACAGTAGAAGCAGCAGAATAGAGTAGTTGATACTATTTGAGTTTTCCCTATTGTCTTATATAGATTTCATGGCTTCAATTGTAGAAAATAATAAATATTTTCTCGTAGAATCCCTGATTTTTGTTAATTTTTAATATATAGTTTTGTTTTGCATTGCTTGCACCCCAATAAATTTTAAAGTTGCATTAAAAAATTCTCTAATCTTATCTGGAGAATTTTAAAAAATAACAAAAATACCTGGAAAATTCGGGAATTCTCAGGGAATTTTTTTACAAGATTTCAGTAAACACCCTGTGAGATCAACCGTTGATTTTGACATTTTCTTTTTAACTGTCATCCCATCGGAGTGACGTGCCGCGCCGTTTCGTAATGGAACCTTCCTTCCGCCCAATTTGCGTTGTCGCGCCGAGACGCGCCGATGTCTGCTATAGCGAAGCAAATTCTTCGCGAAGGCGTTTTGCACCGCATTTCTCGGTCCGTTGCACTTCGTATCACACCGGCCAGTGGCCTGTGTCATAAAACTTGACAGGTTGACTATTAGAATGTCAATGAACTCTCATGATTTCCCGGTTCTAACGTGATTATTTATACGTGTCGAGCCTTCCGCTTTGCAGCTTCTGGAAAAGTGTCTCCCGCCGTCTCTCGTCTCTTTGATCACGGCTTGAGATATTGAATTCCAACAGCGATGGGCGTTCCATTGATTCCGTAACGTAAGATGTTCGAGCGACGTTCAAGCGACGCGATGAAATGTGATTAGCGTGCGCGTTAATCAAGCGTCGCGCATACCGCGATAGGTCACATCTCGCCGGTGCGTTGTGTGCTATTTTTAGAACTCGTATGTCTCGATGTAACGTTGTGGTAGGTGCCGGTAACGAATGTACATATAGCTCGTATGGAATCACGTGCATTGCCAAAGAAAAGCGAAAGCGAGGACGGCGCGCTGCGCCGGTTCGCTTCTTGCAGACTGGTCGAGAGTTCCGCACGGCACGAAATCTGCTCAATCTAGAAGGACAGGGACACCTCGCATATATTATCATTTAATATAAGGGGTATTTTATTACTTTTCGATTTCATTGAAGTCTAGGAATTGTTCCCGCCGTTTCGCACGTAAGTTTCGATTTTTGCATCCGTATCTTAATCACCCAGCAATTTACTTACGCTCATACCTATAATTGCTTCTGTTGAAGAATTTAACTGAAATCAACTGACGTGATATACGACTTAATGAAGATATCTTGGAAGTCAATTTGATATTTGTTACATCATATTTGTAATTGCGATTTAATTGATTTTAATAACTTGGAAGTTTGTCTCGACACAATTTGAGATTTGTTTCTTGCGGTTCAATAATTGATTCTTAAGAGATGTTCGTATGTGTACGTATAAATTTATTACGTCAATAAATTTTTAATCTCACAACACTTTTCTAAGGAAAGAACTTATGTGATTACTTATGTGAGAAATTTGTTCAATAGACTTTTAAATAAATTTTAATTTTTAAATCAAAGTTATTCCAAATGAAGGAAATTTTATATTTATTAAAATTATATATTCAATTATATATTCAATCTTTTAAAATTAAATAATAGATCAACCGTTTAGTTTGTCATAAAAAACAAGAATTAAATAATTTGCGTTTAATTTGTTACAACTAAAATTAGTAATATCAGATTCGCCACAGGATTAGAAATCAGGGAAATCAGAGAATTATCAGGGAAATTGAAAATGATCAAGGAAATTAAGGAAAAGGCAGAAAATTTTGTAAAATTTCCATGGAAATTAAAATTCTTGACTTAAAGAAGTTTATGTATACATTACACCTACGCAATTTTGAAATATTACCGATTTAATAATTGCAAGCAATGTCAGCAATATTAATAGTAATTTATATTACTATGTTAAATTGGCCTCAATAAAATATTTAACGGTTTATAAAAAATACAAAAAATTTCCAAATATCGTCAGACAGATTTCAGATTGAGAAATCTTGCCTGATGCGCTTTTATGATACAAAGTTTATGTAATAACTGTAAATATGGGCTTCAGTTTTTCTATCGTTATTTACGAACGCGCACGAATGAAGATGCTGCAATTGATGTCGATTGTCCGTATCCTGGCACGCGTGATATCGATGAATCTCGGGACGCTCGTGCGACTCTCGGAACGCTGCTTCTTGTATTCGCTCATGAATATTTCTTTTCATCAGTCGCGCTGCACTACCGTGTCGCCCCATCAGGCATGCATTTATGCCGACGAGAGAGATCGCGTTTCTTTTTGAACGATCGCAAAAAGCCGAGCTGAAGGCGCGAACCGAGTAACCGAGTTACGCGATCGTATAAAGACGGCTAGTGTTTGCCCCCCTCTGATGGCGCCCGCCTGAATCGCAGCACAGGAGGAAGATTATATAGAAATTCCAGATGTAAATTTAAATTGTGAGAAACGATCATTTGCATCTGCAGTTCTTTATTTCTCCTTTTTTATTCGTGGTCTTCTTTAGTTTATCTCCATAATTTTCTCATTCTTCATAGCCGGTAAAATTAGAAGATATGGTTTGGACGATCCGTTCAATTTTACATTCTGTCTTTCGCGAAATGTTAGAAATATACTTTGACTTCTTGATAATCAGAGTGGCGAACGTAAGAAGGAAATTTTGACACTCGAGAGGCATGCGAGAATACATCCTAAAGATACTTAGGCAATTTTTAGTTTACATTGTTAGGCAGAGTCTTACAAAACCGATTAAGTATAATCGAACGTATACTTAATCATCTTTTTGACAAAAAAAAGTTACGTACAGGTTTAGACGTCGATATTGTTTTCTCGATAACAGTGATATGGCTTCGATGCGTAGGATTTTTCTCGTGGGTTTAATCAAGAGATATCGAAATAGTCCTGTGACAATTTTGCCATATCTATCA